GTAATATGGTATTGAATAAAAATTTATTAAAAACTACAAACGTCGTGTTTTGAATTAATATAAGAAAAAATATATGAAGTGAGCTGTGATATTTTATAGTAAACGTTGCTTTCATTTACAGTAGAGCAACATTAAAAACATCCTAAAAGCTTAATGGAAGTGTTTGTTAAAGAAAATACTGAACTAAAGTAATCCCACTGTAATGTGTTTTTTAAAATTAATTTTATTGTTTTGGCCTTATTTTGTCACTTAAACGAATATTAGAAAACACAAAAACTTTCCGCAATTTTTGTCACTAGATGGTGTAGGTACATGTGTTTGAAAGGTCATATTTTAGGTCACACGGGTAATAGGCTATCCCCAGATCAAGAAACAAGATCCCAATTGAATCATATTGAGAAGACAAAATATATTCTTTTAGTGTCTTAGATATATATACTATTCGAAGAGTCAAAATTGACTCGGATTAATACTTCATCGTAATCAAATCAAGTTATATATTTACTCGATAAAAAAAACTGCTTCAACAAAAACAGCAAAAGCTAGATAATATCGAATAATAGATAATATCGAATTGGCTATGCGACTCTCCCAATATTCCCCAACTGAATCCGAAGGAACCAATATATGCGCACAGGGGAACCATATATTCTGCGCAATGCGTACCGGCCCAGAAGAGGAATTGACTATCACCACTGGTATAATCAGGAGTGTCGCAATCGTCAAAATGTCATGAGTATAAAATGTTTGCGATGCTGGGCTGTTAGAACATGGTTCGAAAATTCTATTAGAAATCTAAAATCTAATAAATGATTATAACCTTGAACGAATTACGTGAAAAATAAAAATAGAAATCAGTCGATTAGGATAACTTGTCGAACCTATTAAAAGAGGGCACTAGTAATATAACTGAAAGTGACGTTGATTCCGGTTTTTCAATCGTTCCGCCTCACGACTATGATCAAAAGTCTATAGCAACAGTCAGCGAATCATTGGATTAGCTATTTAAATCCTTTAACGAAGCATTAATTCCGCAATGGTTTATACTCATCCGGTCTAATTTGAAATCGCAAGTTTATAAGAAAGCTTGTGTTTCTCATTTCACAGGATATGGTCATGCGTAACACAGCATGTAAATATCTTTCAAAACCATGATGTGTGATACTTATCACATTTTTCTCTAGGTGAATGGAACTACGTTAGTGTGTCTTTAAACGGCGCTCCCGGATGTTACTTATATTTGACCGAGTATAGCGGATCCCTAACCAGATTGACTTTCTTTTTTCGTGGGTTTAATCCTGAACTAAATAACAAAAATAAACAAATCACTTTGAAACCGGGGAACTGGGCTATATAGAACGCAAAAGTTTCGCATACTACGTATCTAAGCAAGGTACACACCGCGTCTTCTAGGGGTAATAAAGAGGTGCCCATTAATAAATAACCTAACTTAACCACGCGTTCTGGACCACTAATTCGGTCAGGCTTTCTCTCGAGGAAGAGTTACAGGGAACGCCAAGCGGCGAATATTGCTCAAAGGAACGGTAATGTTTCGGTGACATCGGAATCAATGAAGTTCGGGATTACATAGGCAAAGTAGGTTATCAGTGCCTCAAAGGACAAACAGGAACCTATGCCGAAGCGACAACGACAGCGCTCATTAGATGATTTAACTTCAAAACCGAATGCCCAAAAAGCAAAACTTCATGACAGCGCCACCACTGAAAATCCTTAAACAATATGCTGAGGTCTTGTATAATAATAGGGGTCATTGATGAAAGTAACCTTGATGGCACAATCATCCTGATGGGACATAATTGAGCTTAATCTCTTCAACGTTTACGTTGATCTTTTAAAGAACTTTTTCGAAGATGGTTCCACATGTCTCGACGGTGAATGGCATCAAGTTTATGTAAAGCTAATCGCTTGCACAGATCAGTAGCTTATTGATCTATTCTACAAAGTTGGTATGGTGAGGTATGGTCAGGCTCAAAATAAAGGTTGTTGCTAAGTAAAAAATCCTCAGCCAACTCAGAACGCATTCATGGATTCCAGCCGAACCGTCCGGGTTCAGCAGATTCTGGAGTTTATTCAATTAGGAAACCTTCAGCTTACGAAAGCATTATGGAAGATCACGAAGCTGGAGTAAGCCAAAAGCAAGTACAAATAGCTCAGCTTTGTGATTGACAAACCCTTAGCTATTTTGATGAGATCTAGTGGTATTATAAACTGGGGTTTATCAACCATCACGAGGGTCTATAAAAACGAAGCAATCGACGCCAATGCTCATTATGAAATATGGGACAGCTCCATCACAAACGAACGTGGTGAGGTACTTTCTGATTTTATTTTCAGTAATAACTTCTTTGTATGTTATGATTGCAAAATTTTTGGTATTGTTTTTGATAGATAACCTAACTGGATGGAAAATATTTTAGACGGCGCTAAGAAAACCAATAATGAGTTACTCTTATGTCAGAAAGCTATTGGAAAATGGTGGGGACTACAACAACGTATTATACAAAAGCATATTATACGCGGGTATTCGTAAAGCAATACTTTTGCATGGCATCACTGTATGGTGGACGAAAATTGACAAATCGTCGTACTGTACTTAACAGGGTTCACCGCATACCTGAACTCTGAATAAGTGGTGCTCTGTATACCACACCATCCATTGAGTTGGATCTAATGCTTCATCTAATGCCATTTGATATCATCAGTAAACTTTTGGCATCATCATCTGTTCTATGACTCGCCAGTATTAGTACCTTCTTCTAAGCCTTTTTTTCTTCTATGTGTGCGTAATTACACTTTTACGCCTAAATTATCTCAAATGTTTATAAAAAAATAGCATTATTTTACATTAATTATCGACACTTTTATTACTGACATTATTTATGTAGTTTAAAAAAATATTTACCATATTAATCTTCGAGGTTAAAAACAAATACATTTTTAATAAAAAAAATGTAAATTCCAAATATAAAAAGTTATAAAACAAAAGCAAAAAACACATCTCAAAATTATTTTGTCTGTTTTTTCGCAATATCTACATTTAAATTTAAATTCAGTTTCCATTATAAGAAATGTCATCTGTCATTCCCATTTATACGGTTGCCAACACCTCATATTTTGAGATTGAATCAAAAACGGCGGCAATTTAATAGGGTCTTATTGATCAACAGGGTTTCTGGTTTCTCGTGACCGGATATACAGTCATGTTTGGCAAATGAATCTGGTAAAGAGACGAGCGATGGTTGAAGCAAGTCAAATTTAACACTGATATTTCTTTATAGTAAAACTTCAGCTTGCCATTTACTGTCCTCATTTTGTTGATCGCTAGACTTGCAGAAATACGTGAAGAATTTCAGCAGTCACCCTTCTAAATCTCAGTGTAAGAGAGTATGCGGAAGACGATGGGGGTTATCGCCAAAATCAATGCACGGGATCTACACGGTGGTGGTTAGACCTATTAAAACCAAAAGCCATCCAAAAGGCAATAAAAGCGAAGTTTGATAGGGTTCAGCAACTAGCTTATGCTGAAATAACCGGTGCTATGCGCACCACGCCAACACCGACATTAGAAGCAATGCTAGGTTTGATTCCGTTAAATTTATATATAAAGAAAACGGCAGTACTAACAGCAATTCGTATGAACCGGAGCTCCACGTGGAATAACTTCGGAACCTTAGTGAACCATCGGAAAATTCTTGACCTCGTCCAGACGTTGGTCAAGGAAACGCAGATGTTATTGGAAACTTTGAGGAAAGTTTATGAGACAGATGTGTCTTATAAAATACTGATAGTAGATGGCCTTGATAAATGTGAAAGGAATGACATCTACATCTTTACCGATGGCTCCTTGATGGATGACAGAGCTAGAGCTGAAGTTTACGCGAAAGAGCTAAGGCCAATGTGCACTATATATCTAGGAAAATATGTTTTCGTCTATCAGGTGAAACTTATGGTGGTCCATCAGGTGTATCAGAAAAAGATTCTGATAGCACTGGACAATCCAGCAGTTATCAAAACGATGTAAAAGACGTGTATATTAATAGCTTAGCCCCTGGAAAGGAGGTAGCAGTCATGTGGGTTAGAGGTCACATCAGTATTGAGCAAAACGAAGAGGCAAATGAACTTGTAAAGCAAGGATCAAGCTTAAATTTTGCGGCCCAGAGCCGAGAATACCTTTGGGCTACAACATGACTGCAGCCTATGTCGATAAGTGGATAACTTTAGTTCTCCTTAACAGATAGTGAGAGATGAGCACTTGTAGACAGACTAAATTTATGATGCCGAAACCACTGGCCAGGGAACCGATAAAAGTACTTAGCTACCCGCGGAGAACCCTAATCTAGCTGACCTCATTGATTACGGGACTTGGAAACTTCAAGTATCACCTCAAAAATATAACTCTTGTTGAAGAAGGCGCTTGCCGACTATGTCCAGTAAAAAAAAGGAGGCAGCGGTGCATATATTGTGCTAATGTCTAGCACTGGCAAGCAGGAGAATAACTGTCTTGGGACACCACTGGGTTGGTGATGACTTGCTAGGCAACCTCAAGTTAAATGAACTGCTTACAAAAACAAAAGATGTAGTTATGCAGAAGGAAGCTACTTTAACTTTCACTCTGAAACGTTGACATGTGTTTTCAAATGCTATTTGTGAGCAATGGCACACCTTTAAGCCATACATCTAAGAAGACGGCACAACACACTTTCTTCTCTTGCATCGCCGATTCAATGGCATTTACAACTATGTGTATTTGGTCGATGGTTGAGTGGTTTTTTCTGAAGCCGTATTGATGATGAGGAATTAAATGTCTCCTCTCGATTATTGGTAATAAACGCGCTAGTAGTAGTTTTCAAAAAGCTTCGACAAGATTGGCAATAGAGATATTGGCCTATATGAAGATATGTCATTGGGAGACTTCCCCGGTTTGGGTATCATCATTACCTCAGCTAATTTCCAGAATATGGGTACATGTTTCAAACGAATTAATTAAATCGCAAAGGTAGAGGAAGAACTTCAGCTATTATCAAGTCAAATCCAGGAGATTTTTTGAGTTTCATTTTTAAAATTTGTTCACTTACTTCTTCTGTTGTGACTGGAACAATTGTAAGTTCGCCTTCGGGACAATTTGTACTTGACCCAATAACATCTTGGACTTCATTTGGCCTGAAGGTTTTTTCTAGATGTTCAGCAAACAGGTTCGCCTTTTGAGTATTTGTTTTAGCCCACTGAGTTTCGGTGATTTTTACTGGGGCAACTGCTGCATTGGTCTGTTAAAAGATTTAGCAGTTTTCCACAGAGAGTATTCATTATTTTTGTCTGCGTGAGGCCCATCAGAAAACTATTAAAAGTATTATTTTTGTATGATTTGATGGCTGTGCATAATATTTTAGTTGTTCGGTTTAGTTGCGACTTAATGAACGGTCATCTAGTTGCTAGCCAACGTTTTTGTAGTTTTCACTTCTCCGTTATCTTGTTTGTGATGAAGGGCGAGTATTTTTTTCCATGTAGAGTTTGGAGTTTTGGTGTTGGTGTACTGTTCCTCGCTGCTGAGTGAAGTACTGCGTCATCTAGTTGCTCGCTGTTAACAATATGATCAATCTTGCCCAAATTTATAAGCTGCAGCTGAAAATATTTCCAGTCGGTAAAGGTATTTCTTTACTTAGGTGTGTTCTGGTTTATTGTTGGATTTTGTGAAACTATCAGCAGCACTAGTGAGTGATCAGAGCTAAAGTCGAAGCCTTCTGAGATGGTTAGGTGAGATGCTGGAATGTTTTTGTAGACAAAGAAGTCGATGATATCTGGAACTTTGCTAGTATCCGACGGTAAAGTGCGTTAGTTTATCGGTTGAAAGCGAATTGCAAGCTGCGAGTTGCATTACTTTGTACATTTTTTACGTTGAAGTTTCCTCCAATTATCTAACGGCCTTGAAACCGGTTAAAAAGAGATAAGTAGTCTGCGCACTTTAACTGATGCCTGGGAGGACTATATAAGTTACGACCAACGGCTGATTAAAGATTTCCACGGAAACAGAAGTAGCTTAAAATTCAATTGTGGTAAATTGTTCTATTAAGTGCTGTTTTATCGAGTTATTAATTTTGACAGCGCTGTATGGTATAGAGTATAGTTTTTAAACGTTACTTGCGATTGCTTAGTAAAATGAGTTTAAGCGATTAGACCGATATTAGTGTTTTCGCTATTACGAAAACATATGACTTCGAGCTCATTTTTATTTTTTGTTAAGCCATTCGCATTCTATAAGAATAATTTGAAACAATTAGTCATAGTCTAAAAATTGCATATTGTGCTCTAGCGCGCTTAGACTTTGTTTTAGGGTTTTAAATACCTCTTCTTGTAAATTAAGTTTTGTTAAGATAATTGGCAACGCGTTGTTGCTTCGTAAGTTAGTACTTTGAATTGGTCCCTTTACTGATTGAATGTAAGTAACTGTTCTAACACTAGTTGGCTCAGCAATTTTGGATTTACGTTTTGTTACAGCAACTTGATTATTTTAGTCAGCCTTAGTTTTGTCAGCTTTATTTTTCAATTTTATTTTTCCTAATTCTTTAGCAACGATACAATTACAAAAGTTCGCTGGATGCGGTTCGCCACAGTTGCAGCTTTTAAGCTTATCAGACAATGTCTTTTGGCACTCAGGAGTTAAATATTTGCCAGCGCATTTAACACATCGTGGAGGTTTTCCACAGTAATTTTTTGTGTGACCGAACGATTGAAATTTTTTGCATTGAGGAATTAAGTTTGACCGTTTGATGGGTTTATTCTTTACAATTCTGTTAAGGATACTTTTTATCTCATAGATTTTCTTCGCATCTTCGGTTGAGTCAAATGGCAAAATAACATATCAAGTGGTTCTTTAGACTTCCATTTAAGTTTGTTTATCTCACCGATTGCTTTTAAACCTTGGTTGTCATTTATAATCGATTCTTCATCACACGAGTGGTGAAGATTTTTTACTATAACTTTTATTGATCTAGTTTGCTTATCTTCGTAGCTGAACCAGGACATATTATCCGGGACATACAGATTTGTGACAAATTTGTAACAAGATTTGTTACAAATCTGTAGTCAAAAGAGTCAAAAATAGATACTCTATATAAACCATTATATATAAGTCTCACAAAAAACTTGTTTTTTATAGTTTCAATAAGTTGCGCGTGCAATTTTTTAAAATCATTTATGCCGTTAATAACAATAGGAGGAGGTCGAGGAATTTTATTAGGGGCAGCTTGTCCTTTTGGGCAAGTATTTGTTTCAACACTAGGTCTAGGTTGATTAGCTACTTCACGAAAGGATTTAACCCTACGTTTTTTAGTTGGTCTTTTCTTTTTGAGGATCCAGTCCGTCTCCCTATTATTGAGCCTAATAATGAAAAAATACTTACTTGTTGAAAATTGCTTTATTGTTTTTCGAAGTATTCTCCTTCATGATTAATACTGATTTCCATACGTTCATGTCATTCGTTAAAGCATTTTTTTCAATGTTCTTCAGACACCTTCAAAACATGGTTTTTAAATGCAACAATAGCTTCCTCCGCCGATAAAACTCATGGGTTGCCAAATCAAGACTGTATGTAAATCAGGCGGATCACCCATTAATTCGACTTTTCGGTTGTTAGACGAGATGTGTGAGCACTCGCATTGTCCTAATGGAAAATCATCTGATGGCGCTTGTTTCTTTTCCGTATTTCACTGAAGACTTTCGGTAAACCAATGATTGTGTACCTTCTGGAATTGACCGCTTTATGTTCGTTTATAAAAAACGGTGTTTAATTTTTATAAAGGAAAGAGCAGCGAAGTTTAAAATTATATATATAAGGTCCTGCAGCACTTTCATGAGGTCCTGTTTTTACCCGTTGCTAATATACATCAATATATTAGATATACTTGCGGTGAGTCCTATAGATATTTAACTATATGCCTATATTTATTGTGTTTTTATTATGCACATGAGTTCGGGTTCTTAATAAACAGGATATAGTGATGCGCAAAATATCAGTCTATGCCACACCAAGACTTTGGTGAGTGATACTTTATCACACCCTTCCCGAGGTGAACCTGTTTTAATGTTGACATGTCTATTGACATAACAGAACACCATGGATCTAGAGAGCAAATCTCGATAAAACCCGTAATCTCCGGTATTATTTGACCCGAGCCGATAAAATGAATGGCACTACGTTACTGGCACAATCCGGTTGTGAAATAGTCTTGTCTGGGTATAGCGGATCTCTGCCCGGATCGACGTTGCTTTCTCCGCAACTTGTGGGTTTCAAACATGAACCAAAATAATAAAAACAAATTAAATAAAACAAGCTCGGTTAAACTAAACCCTCTCGAGCTACAACTTCCAATGCATCTACCGCAACTTCTAGCGGTAATAATACGGTACCTTCAAATAAAACAACAATTCCTACGCGTTCTGGCCCCTTCGCAAGATCGTGTCTTCCTTCCAGAAAAATTTATAAAGAATGGCGGACGGCGACTAGACTGCTCGAGAGATTTAATAATGTCTCGGTCACGTCCGAGTCACTTAAGGCAAGATTAGCCTGGGCAAAGCAAGTCCTCAAGTGTCAGAGCCGATTAGATTTGTCAGCTTCAAAGCTTGATGCCAAAAGGGCAAAAAGGCAACGACACCACTACCAAGTCCTTTAGTGACATGCCGAAGGGCTCCATCATGAAGGCGGTCATTGATGAAAATTTGGGAGGCACAACTCCCAAATGTTGCGACAGTGGATGGTTTCAGAGCCATGTGAAGCTAGTTGCTTGCGTAGATCAACGTTATGTTGATCTTTTTCGAAATCTCCAGAATGGATTAGGATTGGCCAGGCGCAAAACTCAAAGTCGTTGCTAAGGAATCCGACCCAGAGTGCGTTCCTGAATTCTAGCCAGGATCCTCACCGGATTCTGGTGCTAATTATGATGGAAAACATTGATTAAACACGACTACGTGGAGGGTCACTAAGCAGGAAGAGCCAAACACAAGTATAGGTTTTGTTTTTTTTGTGATCGAAAAATACTCCCTGGCCATTTTGGCGCGATCTGGTAGCGTACTAAATTACGGTTCTTTCCCCATAAATATGAGGGTTTATAAAAAATATGAGGAGCAACCCTCGTGTGACGTAAGGGACTCAGTGGCGACTTCTCAATATGCTGCTGACCACCACATTAAAAATGGGCAGCATTAAGCCTGTTTCCATGACCGAAGTGAATGCGGTCGTCATATTATCTGAAGACTCACCTGTGTGTATGAAACTTCGGTGTCTGCTCCCTTGCCGGCTCCCGCAACTTCATCAGAGGAGAGCATAAGTATGCGCTATTATTTCGATAAAGAGGAGCTCCTAAAATCAAGTGATGACTCCGAGAAGGATAACGCTCTAGATGTCACTATGGTGAAGAGCACTGAACCTACACAAACTAAAGATGCGAGTAGAACAAATTAACCTACATCATAGCAAAGCTGCATCCGCCAGTCTGCTGCAACGCTTCAGCAACAACGAGGTTGATATGATCCTGATACAAGAACCCTAGATTTATAAGGATCTTGAATGCGGAATCAGGATAACTTATATGCGGTAAATAAGGGTAAGCCTAGGTTCTGCATATTGGGTAATAAAAAGTTGAATGCTTTTTTACTTTCGCAATACTGTAACGGTGACAAAACCGCAGTAATTATTGAGGGATCCTGGGGCCAAATATGGGCAGTATCTCCATATCTGGCACACGACCTCTATACAATATCATCGAATATCCTGATACAGCTAACAAGCAGCGCCAAGAGACTCAGCGTGGAGTAAAAACAATCATTTTTGAAATATATATGTATATATAATATATAATAAGGTTGCTCTTGCTACTACCAAGCTTCATGAATCAGTCAGGAACTGGAAAGTGTCCACTTAACACTTTTTCTCAGACCATATAATTCTAGAATTTACTTTAACCCTGGGTGAATCGAGCATCTACAAACAGAAAACGTTCAGAAATATTGTAAATACAAACTGGACGAAATATAAAGCAGCGTTAAGTGAGCTATTATCAAGCATTTTCTCCGTTCCCCCAGGGAACACTGTTGATCTAGACAATCAAATGCAAGATCTCACCTTAGTGCTCAATGAAGCTTATAATTATGCCTGTCCGCCTACCCGACCTAGTAGAAAATGCAACCGACCGTGGTGGAACAAAGGCTTAGGTCTTTCACAAAAGGAGTGTAGAAGGCTATTCAATATGGCAAAATTAAGCAATTGTTAGCG